CTGCAGCTGATTGGCCCCAAATAAACACACAGAGGCTTATATTATTTACAAACTGTATAGTCTGTGGCAGGCCTCTTGCTTGCTAGCTCTTATATCTTAAATCAACCCATAACTATTAATCTATGTATCACCACATGTTCCATGACTTTACCTGCATCCCATTACATGCTACTCCCTGGACAGTGGGAATGTGTCTCTCTGCCTCTTCTTTCTCTTCTTCCCCTCTTTCTTAACCTTTCCCACCTGGCTCCATCCTGCCCTGCCATAGGCCAATGTAGTTTTATTTATCAACCAATAAGAGCAACACATATTCACAGCATACAGAAAGATATCCCACAGCACTTCCCCTTTTCTAATCAAAAAGGAAGGTTTTAACTTTAACATTGTAAAATTATATATAACAAAACAGTTACCAAGCAAGAATTACAGTTATAATAGCTACTCTATTTGTATTTGGCAAAATTAAAGAAAATATTCTATCCTATATTTGTAAGTCTAAAGTTTCATATATAATTTATCTTTTATCATAACCAAAAAAAAAATTTAACTATCTAGTCTTCAACTTCATCAACTACAAAAGACCCCAGAAGGATATAATATTACTTAAGTAAACAAGAAATGCATTGTAAGCAACTTCCAAAATTCTGGAAATGACAGAGACAGCTGCGTGCCTGGACAGTCATCCAAATTTCTTCTGCAATGTTGGGGCATTCATCTTCAGTCTCTCAGTCTAGAGTTTCTCAGTTGCTTCTCTCTGTGTCCTGTAGAATATCTGAAAGTCTCCTCTGTGAAGCAGGAACATGAAGGACCATCTTGCCTTGCAAAGTTCATTGGTTACCTTCCTGTGGGTCCTGCATGTCCAGTCTATACATTTTGTCAAGTAGTCCATGCAAGAACAGTTTCTTACCCAAATGGCTATTTTTGCCAAGAAGAAGATAAACTCCATATGGAGTATCCATCTTCCTCTTTAAAATAAATTGGTGCTGCCAGGGGCAGACATGTCCCATTATCCAGAAAGTCTAAGTTGTAAAAACATTTTAAATACCATATTCTGTAGGTCTTTGAAGTGTTTGAAGATTACCTACCTAACTGAAATATATCTATGTATACCTAGAAAACTTAACTAACATAACTATAAGGTTGATTATTATGGATGACTCATTATTAATCTGTATTTCTTAATTATATATTATAATTTTAAATGAGTTGTACAAACATAATAACTTAAACAAGAGCAGAAATATACAGTATAACAAAATTAACTTTAAATTTATACCAATAAGCTAAAATCCATAGCATTTTAAAACATTTTTAAATAAGTTGTTGCTCTTTAAAA